GGTCTTGTTTATTTATTTTATTCATTCAATGTTATTGCTCATGAAAATAACACAAATGTAAAACTTTTTGCTGATGATACGTCTCTCTATGTAATTGTTAACAAAGATGTAACTTCAGTTGCACAATCTGTTCACAGGCTCTGCGGAATCCCGCTCGCTCTCAAGCAGAGTGAATCGTTGGTCAAGTTGCGGGTTTCGTGATGCGGCATTCATGCTTTTCTCAATCAGTCTGTATTGGAGTCAGTGGGAATCCGTCGATCTTATGTATACACATTTACTCGGTCTCATCGCATGCGATGAGAAACTCGTGTGTAAACGGGTAAACACATTATGACGAGTGTCATGTCATTTCGTATATTGAGAGAAAAGCGACCTGTTTCTTGTATAAACAACCGGCAACTTACCGTTATCATCGCACGTCGGGTTAGTCCTGGACACGGATCCGTTCACACAGCATTGTACATGTACTGAAGGTCTAGATTTGTTCAGGGCGGGTGTTCGACGGACAGAAATATAGCTTGGGAGAGCGTTCAAAACTGATGCAGTACTTAGTCTTTATCGAAGGTCGCTGAGTTGAATTGTTAACTGTTGCGCCCATGGTAACATAACTGATGACGTCATAGAACAGTAAAGACAATTCACATAGACAAATACATTGTGTCTTACGGCCATGTTATGTGTGTTGGTATGGAGATGTTGGAGAAAAGAAACATCATAATTATTACACATATGGGGGTGGGGAGGATTTACATCAGTCGGCCATTTCAATACACATGTATAAACCAATATTTATATGTAATTACGTGTATATTTTACATTCACGGCCATCTAGGCGTACACAAGAGAAATATTATAGGCGCCAGACGGGGTTTTAAGTTGGGCGTCCAGCAGTACACCATATTGTTGTGGTTCAAACGGTATATGAGTAACATGTTATTTGATCAAATGCACGGTCTCGCATTCTTGTAAAGGGTTGAAATTTTGGACATTTTGGTTGCAACGACACTCGCAGGAACAACGTTATAGTCGAAGGGACCTAACTCTTGTCGTCTTGAATCATATTGTGTCACCGCCAACGGTGGACCAGATTGGGGGTGAACTTTAGCACACACGTTTTACAGACTATGCTCCCTTAAGCGAGCGTTGGAGGTTTGATGGACATGTTGATGTATTTGGGGCGCGTAACGGGAATGTCGAGGTAAAATCACAAAAGCACAGAAGCCTGACACATAACCACTACGACTGATAAAAAAATGAAAAATAAACCTGCGGAATCGCCGCTCGCTCTCAAGCAGAGTAAATCGTTGGTCAAGTCGGGGGTTTCGTGCTGCGGCCTTCATACTTTACTCAATCAGTCTGTTTCGGAGTGTGAATTGAATACACATTATGACGCATGTTATAAAACTCTCTTATTTCTCTTAACCATATGAAAAAACAATATTTAAGTATGTGTTAAATTAATATTTCGTAACGTTTCAAGAAATCAAAGGCTTGTTGTTTGAATATCTATGAATGTGTATTTGTAAAAAAAGGTTTGTCTTTGTAAAGGAGGCGGAGCGAGTCTAACCTTTCTGGACCAACGTTACCCCTAAAATAATTTAAAATAGTCTGCCTTCTATAGTAACACCTCTAAAAATACTCTTTCAGAAAACTATCACATCTGGTAAGATACCACAGTCTTGGAAATCCCCCAATGTTACTGCTTTATATAAAGGTAAGGGTGCTGTGGATGATCGTTGTAACTACAGACCTATTACTATAACTTCCTGTGTAAACAAAATTTTAGAAAAGATAGTATTTAAATATGTGTTTGATTTTATAACAAAACACCATATCATTAGTGAAAACCAGTCTGTGTGTATCAGCGTAGAGATTCTACAGTCAATCAGTTAAATTCTATATACGATTCAATTATTAACAATTTATGTAAAAGTAAAGATATAATATTGGTTTTCTGTGATATTAGCAAAGCATTCGATAGGGTATGGCATAAAGGCCTTCTATATAAACTTAAAAAATATGGTATCTCTGGTAATCTCTTTAAATGAATTGAAAGTCATTTATCTGACGGAAAACAACTTATTTTTTTTAAAGGTTATGCTTCTAATTTTAAATCAATTTCTGCTGGTGATCCACAAGGTTCTGTTCTTGGTCCCTTTTCATTTCTTTTATTCATTAATATATCAACTCATGTAATTAACACTTTTTGCTGATGATACGTCTCATTATGTAATTTTTGACAAAGATGTAACTTCTCCAGCTGAAGAACTTAACGACGATCTTGAATCCATTAATAATTGGGCTACATTCTAGAAAATTAACTTTAATCATCAAAAAACTATTGCATTAACTGTAACTATGAAAAGTAGACAGCATCACTTACTTATATTTGACAATCAGATAATACATGAAAATAATTCGCATAAACATTTCGGCGTAGTATTTAATTCTAATGGTTCTTGGGGTGATCATGTTAAATATATTTATGTTTAATCATGTAAAAGATTATATATTCTGCGTATGCTAAAATATATAATTGATAGGAAATCTTTAGAACTACTATATCTCTCCTATATTCGTCCTATTTATAATATGCCCCTTCTGTCTGGGGCAACTGTAACATTCGGGAAGAAAAACTACTTGAATCTGTTCAAATTGAAGCTAGGAAAATGATAACTGGCCTAATAAGTGGTACATCTTACCATACATTATGCTATGAAACAGGTTTTGAAAAATTAAAAAATCGGCAGAATAAGCATAAACTCGTCTTAATGTATAAAATCCTCAACCACTTAACACCTGATTCTTTATTTGATATCATGGAATCTCATATTAATATACAAGTCAAACACCATCTACGGGCAAATAGTTTTTTTAACATTCCTCAATTTAGAACTTGCATCTTCAACCCTAGTTTCTTTCCTGATGCTATGCGCCTATGGAACAATCTCGATCATTCTGTCACCTCTCTGACTATCAGTTCTTTAAAAAGGAAATTTACAAATTTCAGACACCTCCCAGGAACATTTCTGAAGACTCCATCACTTGTAATCCAAGAAAACTAAATGAATTACTGTGTCAATTACGTTATAATGCTAGCAATTAAAATTTTGATAAATTCAATGATCACTTGATAATTGATCCATCTTTCTGTTGTGGCGCATCTTGTGAAAATGCTGAAAACTATTCTGTCCACTTTATACTAACTACAGACGTTTCATAACTGACATCACTAATCATTTTGGATATTCATCTGTTGATCTACTTACATCTAGTAATGCTTATCTATCTACTGATGATAATTTATTTATTCTCTCAAAAGTTTAAAATTACATTTCTGCTACTAACATATTTAATTAGAAGTAGGACTGTTGTCATTACCTTTTATATTTTCTATAGGTTATTTAAGGTGGGTAGGTGTACGTGTGCTATGGAGTGTGGTCTGAGTGCACAAACATATATAGGATATGCTAAGAAAGTATTGCAAAAGTTATCAAATGTCTTCAATTAATGTTTCTTTTTCTTTCTTATAATTATAACTTGGTTGAATGTTTTAGCCTATATGTTTGTAAGTGTTTATGAGTGTGTCTTGTTGAGCTATGTATTAAATTTATGCTTTCTGTCCATCTATACCGGTTAGGAGAAGACCTATATAGGCTAAGCCTGTTGTCTAATCCATTTGTTCAATTGTTTTTGTCCAATGAAATATGTTGAAACAAACAAATACAACTTACATGCATTGATTCATGATACGCCTCATAAAAAGTTACATAGTGAAGTTTATCTAAATGTGTGTCGTCCAATGTCACTGCCTATTGTTTATCTGCGTAATTGTGATAATCTTACATGAAGGATATGTGATAGGCTTACATGAAGTATATGTGGTAAGCTTACATGAAGTATATGTGACAAGCTTACATGAAGTATAAGTGATAAGCTTACATGAAGTATATGTGATAAGCTTACACGAAGTATATGTGATAAGCTTACATGAAGTATATGTGATAAGCTTACATGAAGTATATGTTATAAGCTTACATGAAGGATATGTGATAAGCTTACATGAAGTATATGTGATAAGCTTACATGACGTATATGATACAACATGGTTGTTCTACCATTAATGGTTTGCCTTGTGCTTTATATTACTTACGAGATTCTCTATTTTTTTCTTTTGTTTCCTTTAAAGTTTTGACAATGTAAGATTGATAAGTATCAATTTAAAATGTAGAAAAATGGATTTCTTTTCATTAAAAAAAAATAGAACAGATTCCAACAGGGAATGAACCTTCGACGTTGAATACACTGACACATGTAATGGGTACCTTCCGGTTTTACACACTAGGCCACCGCATTAGATATTATATTAACGTAGAATTTTTGTGTCTTATTAAACATTCTCATTCCTCTTAACGATGTGAAAAAAAACCCCACATTGAATGAGTACATGTGTAAAAAGCTCTAACTAAATAAATTTGAATTACATTGATGATATTATTTGCTTTATTGATTGTTATTGAATATGTTTCGTATATGAAAGCTGATGATATATTAACCCATTACACACTAACGGTTGTACAACTCCTATGGTTGATAAATCATTCATACTGTTTCCCTGTGATGGTTACAATCGAAGCGGAAAGTGACATCATTGCTGATATGTTTGACTACCCCGAACATACACGTAAACGTGACAATGGTTATATGATACATTACAATGAGCTGGCCTGTGTCCACTTCATCAGGTAAACAGGCTATTCCTAATTACGTCTGATATGGACGAGAACTGAAATCTGAAAAGGACCCGAGGAAACATTAGAAAGAGCCCTTGAGTCTGATAGAGACCAGAGTGCGCATAGAGAACATTTGGTGTACCCCTGACTGAGACCTTCGGAGGAAGGGGCCAGAAGAAGGATCAAGAGGAACGCTTCGGCATTCAATTTGCCTTCTTTAAGTTGACAGTTCTTCGGGCTTAAACCCTAGTCTATATATTTTGTACTATAATCGATAGTTTCCTTCCGCTTGATGGCATAGTGGACTTTAGTACTGCATGTTTATTGCATTTTTAATTATATTTTTTGGGAGCCAATCGCAACTGGTGTTTTATTGTGGATGACGGTTACGGTAAATGCTTTAAACTTACAGAAGATACGCATCTGTCTTCCTGAATACATTTGTTTAATGTCGATACTTACCAGTGTGATACACTACATCAGTGGAACTACGATCGGGACAGACACTTAACTAAACATTGACCTATATCAACATATCAGAATATTCTGATGATAAAATGGCCCGGATTTATAGAGAGTCATGCTTGACAATGTCAACAGTCATTACAGTAACACTGTTGATTGCTGTTGGTCCCACCCCCGGGATAGGAGAAACGTCAGTCCCGGTAAAAATGACATACAGTACCATCTACCGTATCAGATCGAGGTCGCTCCTCCCCTCGGGACTCTTCTTCATCGTTCACGGTGTATCTGATATCCAGTGTTACGCTAGATGTCTACTTTCCACGAGATGTTTGTCGGTCAACTACAAAAGGGCCAATCAAATGTGTGAGATGTCCACTATGACCGTGGCCACAGCTTCCTCTGCCACGTCCATCGATCTGATTAACAACGACGAGTACCACTTCATGGACAAAATGGACTTCCCCGCTGTAAGTCTTAAGATCTTGAATAACAATTATTACAGTTCAATTCATATTATGAATTTCACCCGACGGAGTAATGATGGAAACTTGTTTTCTTGATATATCTTTCTGAAGTCAATGGTTTCGTCACTGCTATTCAGTTTCCGATATCGTTCCTCTTTGTTTACATGTCTTTGTGGTGCCCAGTAAGGTCTTTTCGTATCACATTTCAGTTGACATCTTTTGCCTTTGTATTGAAGCTATGGTATTCTATTTTCTATATCAAATATTTGATTATCATTAAAACAATAATATAATGTGCCTTGCTATGTCTGTAATCCCCAACCAGTGGAATGGTGTAACTCACGTGATATGTATCGATCTCACAGGGACTGGGTGGACAATGTGCTGACAGTTCAGATCTGGAAGAAAACTGTAGAATCCCCGGTAAGTGTTTAGCCAGCATTCAACGCTAGTGTTTGTTAGTGCTACGAACGCTGATATGACTTCCGCATTAGATCTGAAACAAATAGTGGAATCCCAGTAGGTGTTAGTATGTGGTATTGTTCATTAGTTCAAAAAAAATGAAAACTTTGACTGGCATTCAACATTTCACGAAGAGAACCATATATTTCCCATAGAACTTATGTCACGATTAATCGCACACACGTAACAAAGCAAAAGCGTTCAGTACTAAATACGGCATGCTAGCGATCAACTTATCACCTTTTTGGAGTTTTAATGAATCCTTTAATACAAGTTATTTGCCTGATTTTCCTACTGTAGCTCCCAGCTGTTCTCTTGACGACAAATTTGCTCAAATAATTGAGGAGAAAGGAGATGAGCTTCTCGCCCACAGTTCGTGTCCTGACGAAAGGACGGAGTTATGTGACACCAACACCAATACCTGGCGTCCCCATACACGAAACTGTCCAGGTACATAAGGGTCACGTGACATGAGTGAGGCTACTGTTGTGATTATAGTGGTTACATCCTCCTATTATATCTACGCTTTACTTACCGGTATCGGGTGGTCGGGTGGCGCAGTGGATAGCACACCGGCCTTTCACCAAGACGGCCGGGGTTCAGTTCCCCGATCAGACGTGAAAAGGTATTTGGTCACCTACCCGATTACGCGGGTTTTATCCGAATGCATTGGTTCCCCCCACTAGACAAATTCTTGACAGTGTTGTTCAAAAATTACCTCGAACAGCATTCAATTAAGAGTTTTAATGATATAGCTTCAAAAATAGTTTGCAAATCAAAACTAAAACTGTATGCGCCGTTTTTTCTCAAATGAGTTGCTTTAAAGACCAGAATAGCAAAACTATTTGTTTTCTTTCACAGCTTTCTCGAGGAAATGTATTAGAAAATAAAATTTAGGGAAAGGACTTGGCAAGCTAACCAGTTTTTGACCTTCTGAACTTTGGGGCTTCTCTGATCCATTTACTTAACTATTTCACCCCTAGGTAACTTAAGTAGACTCTACCATACATTTATCTGGACGAGTCCATTATGGTCTACAGTGGTGAAAGGGTTAGCATACCTGTTATAGAAACCTGGTGTTTGGAGCCCGTAACTAATGTCTACAAGTCATCCGGTAAATCAATATCTCTCTCGGGTTATAAATTATCCATACAAGAATGGGCCATGTTTTTGCATTTACAAAACAGGTTTGCTATTCAGAAAGAATGTTACTTTGCTTCAAACGGTAGCAAACGAATATTCTATAGCATGCACACGCCGTAAGCAGGATAAGATGACTAGTTACTATCGAAGAAAGGGAAAAGAGTGAAATTAATGAATCCATTTTGTCGTAAATATAAATACCATATGACCATAGTGGCTTTACAGATAACAAGCTTATTTCAGGTAAATTTCAGGTCAGGATTTTAGCTAAAGACATCAGCGCTCCCCGGAAACTACTGAATAACCGTGCCATCTATGATTTGATCAATTTTCAGGATCCTATGTCCTTTTGCTAGTCATCACTTTCTTCCTTAATTATCAAATGCGGCGTTCTTTCCTATAAAAGATGAACAGTAAATCCTTTAATACTGATGAATTTGACACAAAAATACATATGTATTAATTTGTTTTATAGGAAGATAATTATCGTATGCGCATTTGTCACGTATATGATTTGAAGTGCGGAAAAGGAAACAAAAAAATATAATATTCGTGGAAATAAAACTTCGCGTATTAGAATATCTAACTTATACGCTGGAATAAAATTTCGAGAATCACCTGTAAATGGGAAAAAAATAATGTATGGATAACTTTTATTTGTAATCTTATAAATAAATTTGTTCATTTAATTCACATGTTGGAAATATATATTGAAAATCATTCGCGAGGTACATAAGTCACATTGTTATGCATTATCGACTTTCGCAAAATTAAATATCTCACGAACATAATCAATAGTAATAGGCTGTCCCCGTCATTTGGATATCTGATTTTTTTATACTTAGGGGGGGGGGGGGGG